ACACACACACACACACACACACACACACACACACACACACACACACACACACTTAACCTCTAGTCAGGTTTTTCTTATATGCATAATTTCAGGTCTTTATCTTTTCAGTTGCAGTTAATTTTTAATTTTCTTTCAAATTCTTCGTCTAATCTCATTTATTCCTATACATTAACCCTATTGCCACGGGTATCCTTTACTGAGCATGACACAAAGTTTTAGTATCTTATATTCCAAATTTTATTAAACTACTTTTTGTTGATGTCATACCAATTAGAATTGCATAAAATATCAGCAAATAATCCATATTTTAATAGTATATAAGTTTTAAGTTCTTAATTGTAAAGGCAACATTTAAAAAAATCCTGAATTTCACCTAGTGTGACCCACGTGACACATTTTCTCTTAGCAGGTCATCTTTCCATCACTCCTCAAAAAAGTACAAAATTAAACATAAATTACTCTCTATAAGATCGACATTGCTCAGACAAACCATAATTTTTATAGTCTTTAATTTTGTTTGGTTTTGTTTGCCATGCCTACCTCTCACTTACTCTCTTTCAGAATTTGTTAATAGTTCTCTCTTACGTTTAATTATATATTACCTATAACCAATAGCAAGTCAAGGTTTTCATCTATCTTATGATGTATTGTATAATGTTATGTCCTGAATGGTTAAATGTCAATTTCACTCGGAGTACCAACATCATTTCCATGAGAAAGTTAATGAGTTGCTTGGATGAACTTGTAATGATGCTTGTTGCATAGTTAGAAAGCCAGAAAAATTTTAAAAGGTAAGGGAACTTGTCTACTTTTTGCATGTTATTAGTCTATTTTCTTTGGTGCATTATTTAATTAAATAAGAATTATTAAGTGCATTACTATAATTAGTTTAAAAAATTAGGGTCAACTCTCTTTGTCAAATGACAAGACAGCAATAAAAAAAGATTGCTTAAGTATTTTATTTCTTGTTTTTCATGTTTATTTTTATGTCTAATTATAAAAGTAATTAAAATGTAAAATAGGGATCCTTTTGGGTTAGTTAAGATTAGATTAGGTAAAATATATAATAATAATAATATAATAAAAATGTTTCATGAGGCATACACACGAACAGCTCATAGCAACTCGTGTGTTAATGTAATTTGTTAGCGTAACATGAGCTGCACATTCCCTGAATGATTTATAAGTTATAATGGCTTGGACAGTAGTTGGACATGGTTCAAAGGGCAATAAAACAATAAAATTTAATCATAAATAGATGTATACTATCACAAACTTTTAGCTACTTAGGATAAACAAATGTAGTTTCATGTTACAATTTTAAGTAATTCTGGAAAGAAAAAGGGTAATTTAGTTTTATTTCTATTTTGTTTTTGGTGGTTACAAGGTCGGTTCAATTGACTGATTCTATTTTGAGATAGGTAGTGAAAATAACAGATAAACTATAAAGCTATACTGAAAAAAAAAAACGTTTGCAATGTATTTAGGAGGTTTTAGGGATTATGCAAAGTAAATTTGAGATTTGTGAGATGAGGAAAAGTATTTTTAATTTTAACATGAAAATTACTTTGCACACAGACTATTCAAACAAATACTCAATTAACCATGGACAAATCTTTATTTTTATTTATTAAAAATACTTTACAAAAAATATGATTTTTTTATATGTAAAAGATTGCTAAATATTGTGAAAATATACACACCATATTGAAAGTTAGAAGTATTAAATCTAATAAGACTTTAAATGAGTACAAAGAGGTCACGTGGTCGGTCAAATTGACTGAGCCTGTGTTGAGACAGTTAACTGATGCCGTGGGGCTTTATGAAGGTATTTTGGTAGGTTCCCTGTAGAGACGCATTGCCAAAACAAAATGGCACTTATACATGCCATCTTGTTTATAACCTTTCAAAATCCAGGCTTCAAGTTAAACTTATAGAAATCATTAAATTGGTCGACCAGCATGTGCCCTCCATATCTGTGTCCTTCAATACACCCTTGGAGGCCGTAGCCATACGTGTTTCCTTGGGTTGTGCCATCACTGTTTGATCTCTCTACCTGTTTCCTGGTGAGACTTATGACCAATCGGACCTTGATGCTCTCGTTGACCAGTTGCCACCTCCCTTTTTACATCTGGGAGACTTAAATGGACAAAAACCCTTCTGGGGTGGTGCTGATATTGATGGGAGGGGTTGTTCCATAGAGCGTATGCTCTCGGATCACAACCTTTCTCTCT